TAGAAGCTATCGTCCACCCAAAGGTACTTTTCTCAGCGGCTTGCGAATACGACAAGAAAAAATTAAAAAGTAGCAATAGAGCAAATACAAAAAACCATTGGAAAATCGATTAGAAAATGTGTTTTTTTATAGATGAGGTTCATTTTTGGCTGCTACTCCGGATGGCCTAATAGACAGAGGCATTTTTAGAATTAAATGCCCATATTCAGCACGGACTGTGACGCCTGAAGAAGGTATTCAAACAAAAAAATACCTTTTGGTCGAAAAATGGTGACAATAATAAAATGCATAACTGGTATTATCAGGTACAAGGGCAACTGCAAATTTCCAGAAATCATACTGTGTATTTGCTGTTTGGACAACTCACGGTTTAAAAACTGATCCTGAGTTCTGGGTAAAAAGTATGAAACCAGTTCTTTTTCAATTTTATTTTGAATGTATTTTACCGGAAATTATAGATTCTAGAAAATCTAGAAATATGCCTATTAGAGAATCGAAATATATATTAAAGGCTGTAAAAAAAACTAAGCAAAAACAGAAAGAAAGACCTCTTTGTTTTTCTACTTTATTAAATATTTAAAATAAATGATAATGATGTATTGATTATTATTAATTAGACCTACAAACGGCTTTTTCCTCAGTTTGTAATTTTATAATTAAAAAATAAGCAAAAAAAAAACAAAATTTTATACATTTGCCCACAAATTAGCATATATATTTAATTAATAGAGGGCTTATAAAAATTTTTAGTATTTCCTGTAAAACAAGGTCACACCTATTAGTTTCGTTGTTAATGGATTCCACTGCGAAGGGCGCCACATTAGGGTTATAAAAATGTAACTTGGAGAAAGTCAGGCCGTGCGCGATTACTAACTTATTTTTTTTTATTGGTACCCTATTTTACTCATTTAAAGTACGCCTCAGCCTGTTTAAAACGAACTTTAAAAAACGCGCGTGTTTTAAAGTTACCATGGCAACATTAACAACCCGAGAAACGTGATGTCTAAATGCCAAGTTTTGAAATATTGATCAGACAGGAGTGCCTTGCAATGTCAAATAAAATATTTCTGACAAATTTTTCATAAAATACATTCAAATATTTTTTCACATTCCTAATTGTTTAAATGAATGTGGAAAGTACCGTTAGCATTGTTTGAAATATTAAAACTTCGGTTTTTTAAATAAGAGGAAATACTGTTCAAATTAAGATTGCTAACATTCTTGGAAGTCAATGAAGTTGTACTTCCATTAATAGCACTTTCAATCATATTTGAAACATTATTCTTATTGCTAATGCTCTCTTCAACGTAACCAGTCGCCACAGCTGCCGATTTCCATCCTACTTGTCGTTGGATTTGATCTATTGTCATGCCAATATTCGCCGTAATGGTAGCGGACGTACGTCGAAATGCATGTCCAGTATATTTCTCGGGATCGTCCAAATTTAAGATAACGTGCAATTTGCTGGGGACATGATCCAAATGTATTAATACCAACCACTTGAATGGTGCACTTCCCCTTATCATACCGTAAGAAATTTCGGTCTGTACTTACATTTTGAGGGCGCAATGATAAATACTGCTTCACCAAACGTACATATCTAATTGCATCACTATCGGCAACAGTAAAACGTCGAGAGTTCACTGTCTTAGATGGTCGGATAGTAATAGGCAATACGCTTCCTTCTTCCTTGATATCAGCTAAGCGTAAATCGCATAATTCACATCTTCTACAGGAGCCAAAGATGCAACAAATAGCAACCACCTTCAAAAATAAATACATAATGTCCGGTGCATCTGTAAAAAACTTTTGCAATTCGTCTGCCTCAAACACATATGCCTTCTTGACTACCTCATTTTTGCTAAGTGCCTTCATGAATGCATGCATTTTGACAAACGATTTTATATCGACCCCTTTGTTTATCCTCAACATACTTTGTAATTTTGAATGGATAGTCCACATAGTCGATACTTTATACTGTTCCGACATTTTCTGGAGATAAGCGAGAACAACTCGTTCATCTATATGTGTAACCATTTGCTCTTCCATCCACGTGTTGAATTTATCGTATTCTTTTTATAAACCGCTTCGGATTTTTGTGGTATAAAGCGCGATTCTGCTTTATTATTTAAATTCTCAATATTTAAACTAATTTTAAACAATAACAACTGTTGCGACAAATAATCTTACGTGACAGATTGAAAATAAATTTTTGTTTGTCTCATTTTCATGACAACGAGGTATACTGATGTTACATCACAAATTCAACCATTTTCAGTTATTAGTTCTTATTTCCATTTTTTTTTTTGTAGAAATAATACCAATATTAAGGATTTCAAAGTATACCAATAAACAAAAATAGCGTAAAGTATTCGTGGACAACTGGTCTTTAAAACACTTGCTCTATTCGCGGGTGTTTTAAAGGCCGTTATATCCACTTATACTTTAATATACTATTTTAAATTTTTTGAAAACAAAGTTAAAGGTTTGCAGCAGGGACACTGATCTGTATTATTTTACAGATCAGTGAGCAGGGATATAAAAAAATTAGATTTTCTAAATTATTTCTTATAACGAGATGATTAGCGCCTTAAAATACGTAATATTTTCACCTTAGCTATCCTGAATAATAGCCATAATTTAAAAAAAAAGGTATAATTTTATAGTTTTCTGTATTCCCCATTCCCCTTAATCGATGCAGTGGCGCCCATTAGAGTGTCTGTTACATAAAAGCTAGCTAAAAGTGAAGATACCCACCACAGAACACTTACTCTTAGAACGGTAACTCCCATGTTAAAAAACGGTGATAGAATTTCAGCGCCACCTGGCGGACGTGGTTAATTTATTTAAACTAGAGAAACTTCTTAATTTAATTTCTGTATTAATAAATTGTGTTTATAAAATTACACTTTTTTCTCTCTTGTCACTGATTTAAGTTAAAGTTTTTTATTTCTCTCAAGCAGGTATAATTTTATAGTTTTCTATATTCCCCATTCCCCTTAATCAATACAGTGGCGCCCATTAGAGTGTCTGTTACATAAAAACTAGCTAAACGTGAAGATCCGCACCACAGAACACTTACTCTTAGAACGGTAACTCCCATGTTAGAAAATGGTGATAGAATTTTAGCGCCACCTGGCGGACGTGGTTGTTTTTTCAAGTAAATTCTGATCGGGTAAGAGGCCATATAAAAAAATTATTAATAAAAAAAGAAGAGAAAAAAGCGCGAGGCCATTCAAATTTGACAGTAAAAATTACTAGCATTAAAAACTGTTAGCCAAATTAAGAATTGTTCACACAAACTGCATTTTTGCGTTATCATATCGATATTCGCTATAATAAAGCAACGTGTGATTGCATTATTTGTTTAACTTAGCTCCTTTTAAGTGACTCACTATATACACATTTTGTAACATTATGTCAAATCTTTGTCAATAAAAGTCTCCATTTTTAGGGTTGCGGACCCGAAAGGTAACCAACGGCACCCTATTGGCTTTCGCTGTTCATCCGTTCATCTGTCTGTTAGCGGGCTGTATCTCATGATTCGTAATAGGTAGACAGTTAAAATTTTCACAAAATTTGTATTTTTGTTTCAGCTATAAAAAATATAATAAAAAAAAAATGTGTTTTTTTTGTCTTTTTTTGCTAGAAATATTTAAAAAGTAAAGAAAAAAGTAAATCTTGTATGATGGTTCGGAACCCTTCATGCGCGAGTCGGACTTATATTTGGCCGGTTTTATTGTCTTTAAGAAAACATGAAAGGAAAGGAGACTTGTTAAGATTAACTTGCATTTCTCGCATGGTTTAATAGTTAAGTTTATTACATGTTTATTATCTATTCTTATACTTTTATTATGTAATGTAGTTTTGTCCTGTTAATAAATAATATAATAAACAAATAAAAATAAATTATGAAAAGTAATCAGTAGAAATACAACAGTGTAATGTGTACTGTACTAAACGAATATAGAAAAGAGAAAAAGAAACGTTTACTTTAATATACCCTAAAAGAATATTCCCTAGCCTTAATCTGACTTTATTTGAGTTTCCAGTTTTGTATTCATTAATAATTTACTTCTACTTCTTTTATTTTTTTCATTCGAAATCCCCGCTGACTGGCCTACGTCTCGATTCCTCTTATTTGGAGGCGGTTTTCTCCGAAATTATTGCGAGTTATTGTGGGATAATGTATAATTCATCATTTAGAAGTCGGGCAGGTGGCTGGTAAGGAACCGCCGGGGCCCCGGGGCTGGAGTCTCAGCCGGCCGGGCTCCAGAGTAATCAGTGATTGTTTCCTTTTTGGGATTTGGATATTTCGATGCCGTAGCTGAGGTGCTTTGAACTGATTGACGCTTCGAAGGGATTTATACATTTTAATGGAGTGTAAAGAATTGGGGTAAGCATCGAGTAAGCATTCTCAATGTTACAGTTCAATATACGGATACATCAGTTTGACAAAATAATATATGTTATAGAATTCTATAACGAATATTAACCCTAGATTACTAACCTTATCTTAATATACTTTAAACACTATCCCTTCTTAAAATAAAATAATAACTTTATTACAAAAATAAGAACAAAACATATACACTTTGACAAAAAAAAAGTAACGTTAATACTAACCTTTCCTAAAAAATATGACGCACCTTGAAAAAAAAAATGTGTTAACTTCACTGATAATCAAAATACTATGCGATTCCTACTCTTTTAACTATATGAAGAAGCTAGACTAGCAGCCAAGGTCATACCAGTAAGAGAACCTTGCTGGTTTTCAATAAATCACTCACTTTCGTGATTTTTACAAACGGTTAGTATACTAGGCTTAAGTTTTGGTATCAAAAAACGACATAAATAAAAAATATTTTTATGTGTGCTGGATGATTCGATAACAATTTATATGACTCAACTGTTATCTCAATTATTAATTTGAATGACAATTAAAAATAATCAATCTGACTAACCTAAATTTCATCTTCTCAAATTAATTGAAACCCTATATGAGGCGTCTATAAGCCAAGGGGTATAAGTGCAATTTATTTAGTTTTAAGAAAATCGGGTTTGAAGTTTAACATCTTTTTCAAATTCGACTGGTTGTTATTTTAAGTATTTGGTTATTTCGTGATCTTTCTAAGTTGGACAACTTGTCATTTTAAAAGAACTATCATTTTAAAAATTATTTTAAGTTTTAAAATGATACTTGTACCCCTTGCCTTACAAAGAAGTAATTCAAATTAACTTGTACCTCTAATCTTGTAAGTAAAAATTATAATAACTATTACCAATATAAACGATTTTTGTTGAAAAAATACAAAATCAAGCTAGTGGGAGTAAAAAATACAAAGAGTAGGTATTAAATAAAGTCAAACTAATCATAATCGCTATCAAAAATTGTATCTGGTTCATCGAGATTTTCCTCAACGTCATTAGGAGTGTCTTGAACTGTATTTTGTTGTCCATTTCGATCTTGGTGGGGCAAATTTCGGTAGAAATCATGATGAATGGGTGGAAAAAATTGAAGTAGTTCTATAAGATTTGAATACTTTGCATGTTTTAATAATGGCTTTTTAGTTTCACAAGGTAGATTGTTTAAAACTGGAGGCTTCCCCCGACGATTGGATTTCATGCTATAAGTTTCAAACGCAGTCATTTCCTACGGTGTTTTTAAAAAACAATGTGTGCGGATGATCTTTCTCAAATCGCAGCCACTGCATAGCACGTATTCCTGGGACATTATTTTTATATAATTATTGAAGTGTATTTAAGTTTAGAAAATCCTGGTCCGTCATCCTAATAATCACAAATCTTGAACTGGTCTTAGCAATCATTTCTACCCAATGTTCTGATACAAAAAAATCTCTATCACTCTTTTTTCTCTTTATCCCAATGAGACCGAAATTTTTGTCACATTCATTAAATGAATGTCCACTTATCAAAAATCTGTCCTCTACAATCTTAATTTGTGTTTTTGCAATGACGCACAGCCAGAATTTTACGATAATCTTGCTCTTATTCTGTCCGCCACAGTTGTCGCTGAAAGCCGTAATATGTGTAACATGTTCTGGTAGGCTCTGGATGAACTTAAAAAGACAAGAGGCGATTTTTTGACACCCCCGAGATGCTTGTAGTTCGTGCCAAGTAAACATGTATGCAATTCCTGTTTTTATATTATGAATGCAGAAATTATACTTCCATAATTGACGCAAATAGTATGCTTTAGAGGTATGAAGACAAGGGGTACAAGTGGACTAATATCCAATGGCTACCAACTAGCAAACAAAATATTTTAAGGGTTTAAGTGAAATACCCACACATGTCGTCACTGGTTGCAAATGAGACTTATACCCCTTGGCGACTATATGAAATGCCTATTTACAGTCTATTATTGTACTTATCTCTAAATGTTCCAAAAGTGCACTTGTACCCCTTTGCTTATAGACGCCTCATATAGTATTTTTACGATAAAAGGCATTGACGTCATAATATAAGAAACCAGCGGCGTTGTATTCTTTTTACTTTCCTATCTGTATACAGATATAAGGAAAGTATAGGAATCATGATTTTTTTCGACCTCGAGTTTTCGACGGATTTTTACGTTTTGAGGTCCCCTGAATCCGTTTTGACTATTTTCGCGATGATGTCTGTGTGTGTGTGTGTGTGTGTGTGTGTGTGTGTGTGTGTGTGTGTGTGTGTGTCTGTGTGTCTGTGTGTGTGTGTGTGTGTGTGTGTGTGTCTGTATAACGCATAACTCATGAACCGATACACAGAAAAACACCAAATTTTAAACTTAAGCTTCGTTTCAGCGTCCAATGAGCTGATTAGATTTTGGGCAGTGTCGGAACATCTGGGGGGGTACTTTATAGGTGGTCATTTTTATATTTTATGGAATATATCTGTTATTTACGTTTGGAGAAGAAAATTCTTCAAGTAAAAGTTACTTCTAATATAATTATCTATAATTTTTGTTTTATGCAAAATTTTCCTAAAATGGTCCGTATTCGAGAAATTTGACAAAATGTAAAAAACATAATTTTTTATAAAAATTGTTCAAATAAAAGTTGTTTATAATATAGTTCTCTATAATTTTTGTCCTATACATAATTTCTCTAAAATAGACCGTATTTGAGATATTTGAGAAAATGTGTAAATTTCGAAATTTGAAGAAAACTCAAAAACGGATAAAGGAAAAAACATTAAATTTTAAACTTAAGGTTTATTTCGGCCTGACGTGAAATGATTAGATTTTGGACAAAGTTGGAACATCTGGGGGGGTACTTTATGGGAATATATCTGTTATTTATGTTTGGAGAAGAAAATTGTTCAAATAAAAGTTACTTCTAATATTATTATCTATAATTTTTGTTTTATGTCAAAATTTCCTGAAATGGTCCGTATTCGAGAAATTTGACAAAATGTGCAAAATTCTGATTTTTATGAAAATTGTTGAACTAAAAGTTGTTTGCGATATCGATTTCTATAATTTTTGTTTATACATGATTTTTCTAAAATGGTCCGTAATGGAAAAGTGCTAAATTTAAATTTTTCTGTATTTTCGTTTTCAATGAATATCTATAGAAAAATGTTTCGAGGTAGATGTATGTGTAAAATGTATATATTTAGTTTATCCTCTAAACATTTATAGAGATGCTGCAATAGGTTGTACAAAATAACCGGAAAATGCCTATAATAACTAGATAGGAAAGTCATGTGTTGGACACATCAGATTTTTTTATTCCTAGCTTTAATACAAGTGCATCTAATGTGCTATTAATAAAGTTATAACTGTATTAAAGATTGGAATGAATGTAAAAAAGACTTGCTAGTCGATAGAACAATAAAATCTTGACTATAAAGTATTTTTAATAGTAAGAAAATTGTTTTAAGATTCAAATAAAAATTAATAGGTTTTGTAATTTTTACTGTAATATACGAAGAATTCATGCTAATATTAAAACATAGAATTTAGAGGACATTTTATTTTCACAGAGTTAGAATCAGCTTCACTGACATTGATTATTATTTCCTTCGTACTTGACAAAATGGATATACTTTCTTTATTATGATTTTATACCCCTAAGTTAGATTCTTTTATTAAATTTTTAATATAATTTGTTATGAGGCCATTTAGATAATTGCCTATGTTTTGTACAACTTTCGTTTCGGACGCCTCATTAGATGCTACTGTTAGCTTCGAACTTTGATTTCTTTGTACCTAGTTTTTATTGCTTGATTTCCTTGAGCGCATACATTCACTGGAGCATTTGCGCTTTTTTTTAACAATGCGTTTCAGTTAATTTTATTTCTTTCAATTTATTTATTGATAAGTGAACTAATTCTAAAATCAGTTTTTTACGACTTTCGCGGATTTTGAACATTTCTAGTTTACTTGCGTATATACCACAAACAATTTTAACTTCCTGTTTATCTAATAAATTGGGCTAGTCTTCCCGAGCCAATCGTTCTAGCTCTAACATAGACGATTCATAGAAAGCTGCTATTGATTGAATATTATCAAAACCTGTATAGGAAACAAAGTTTTTAAGTAATCTGGAAATATAAAATCTTTAAACTTTTTAACTTCGTCAATAGTTTTTCCAATTTTATCTCTTTCAATGGCGTCATATACAGATTCAGCCATTTTGATAAAACAACAATACCAAAATTTTATTACGTTGCTTGTCTTTTTGTGATCAGATCTTACTTTATTTCCTAACATTGACTGATAACATGCTACTAATATCTCAGTTTGATTATAAGTGGCAGGTCCCAACTCTGTATTTCTTAAATTACAACTTTGTTAAAACATTATGATGGAGTGCTTTGAACATCTTTTATTTTGTAAACTTTGCTTTTGCTTACGTCATTATTGTTTTATGTCTAGGATAACAGTAGAACAGTAGTCAGTAGACATAGATAATAGCAGGTTATTTGACCACATTTGCATGCTTTTAACTGATTTTCATTAGCTTATATTTATTTTCTGTAAAATTTAAATTTACCTTGTAATGGATTACAGTCGTCAATAGTATATAGAAGATACAATTCAAATCATAAGACTCT